CCGTCGGGATTGGGTTTTCGTCGCTTGGCAACGACGTTGATAAACAAGCCAATTCACTTCGTGAGCTCGGCAACCAGGTGACCGTTAATATATATGGTATTTTTTAACCTCTTTTTTTTTTTTTGGTGCTAATGTGGAAAAGAAGGTTTCGTCCTCGACAGACGTTGGGAAGTTTCAACGTTTATGAAGGTGTTCTCCACATTACCCCCCCCTTTCTCGAGGCTTCTTCTTGTTTGCTAGGCAAGGGAAGTCTTTTTGGGGTAACCGGAACCCGACCGGCTGGCGGCGAGTAGAACCTGATCGCGGTTGGCTCAGTTGTGTGTGATGGGAGTGTAGAGCAGCTCGGCCATGACGGGCCGTAGGGGTAGGTAAAGTCGTACAGACGTGTTGGAAAACGTGTTGTATCCGTGTTGTATTAATCGGGGGCGTGCTTGAGCTCGTCATTCCATCACGGCATCAAGTCACGCATAACGCTCAAACACCCAAAACGAATCTCCATGAATATCCACCAATCTACCACACTCCCAAGGAAAACATAAAGAAACTTCTTGTTCCTCCGTAGTTCGTCACTGCAAATCCCGCATATGTACACGCAATACACCACCCGCATGCTATGCTACGAGTATATCGAATAGAGCCACCTTTTTTCCAACAATCTTCTGTGCGTGTTTGCGGGTACACCACTTCCGCCACGCATTGCCAGAAGTTTCGAGTTCGAAGACAGTAGTACATTGTTTCTTGGCCCACCCACCGTTTTTCTTTTTCCGTACTCCGGAAGAAAATTAGGTGAGCATCGGGTTTTGAACCCGTGTCTTTTGCAACCAAAAGTAGACATCTGACATATCTTGTCGACGCCAGTGTGGAAAAGAGTGTTTCGTCCTCCAGAGACGTTGAGGAGTTTCAACCTTTATGAAGGTGTTCTCCACACTAACCATTATGTATGGTGGTCGAGTGGATCATGTTGTGCGGGGTGGAGAACTCGCACTCCGCGCAAGGGGGATGATCGCACCAAGTTGTGTTAAAAATGGTCAAGCACCCTCGAGGCAGTTACACAGTGCTTATCGCTGTCTCTGGAAGACTTAAGTGAAAGCACAAGAAAATATATTAAGTCATACGCAGCTGTCATCCGTATGCAAGGAAGTACGCACAAGATGCCGAACACCCTTAGCAGGATGCAGCGCACCTTTCATGCGACCCGCCGAATACCTCACGGCGCTTCGCGCTTGGTGATGTGAGAGCCTGGTCCGGTGAGAACCCGGCGTGCTCCGTCCCGGCTTTGTAGGGATGCGAGGTCAATGGTCTAACGACTACGGCATGCACGACTATGAGTACACCCCCCCCCAACCTCCGCACCGACCAAGTTAAAACGTGAAAGCGGCTCCGAGCGCGAACACCGGGTTCATGTAGTTGCGGAATGTCTGTCGTACAATGAAACAAGATTTTACGTTGAGCCTCGNTGGTCTAACGACTACGGCATGCACGACTATGAGTACACCCCCCCCCAACCTCCGCACCGACCAAGTTAAAACGTGAAAGCGGCTCCGAGCGCGAACACCGGGTTCATGTAGTTGCGGAATGTCTGTCGTACAATGAAACAAGATTTTACGTTGAGCCTCGGGAAAAGTAGAAGGAAGATACAGGGAGATGTTTGAGGCATGGAATGCCAGCTAGGAGAGAAGACGGTAGCTGTACTGAACTGGGGCATAGAACGTGGTGGGTTGAAGAGGCCGGAAGTGATATCGATAGGACAGACAAGCTAGGAAAAACATTTTCGATACACATAGTTTGGTAAAGTTGGAGGGAGCGATTGGCCATCATCAGTCTTTGGTCCTGTAGGAACGATACTCCGTCTTCTCGAGGACGCGTAGCCAATGGTCTAACCACCAAGATATGCAAAACATTAGAGTACGCCCCCCCCCCCCCCCCCCCCCCCCCCCCCCCCCCCCCCCCCCCCCCCCCCCCCNCCCCCCCCCCCTCCCCCTCCGCACCAGCATTATGTGGAACGGACGTTTCCCTCCTCGTCGCTGATCTGAAAGTGCCGGTGGGTGGGGTCGCTGGACACCCCGTGAGTCACGCCTCTCACCACCTTAATTAGTTCTTATCTTGCAGTTGTCACTTGTGAGAGGTCTGTTCTTGGCCGTATGCGCTTTTTGGTACACCACAATACGGGTTTTTGATCTTTATACCACGTCGGAACTGAACACGTGTTCTTATGGTCAAGTTCTTAAATTTTGAATTTTCGAGGCTGCATTTCTTATCTGGCAAGTCCTGAAGTGCGAGCGCCATCCGTACACATGTAGTATGCAGTAGTACTGCTGTAGCATCAAACGGCTAAACCAAAAGCCTTGAAAATCTGTCACACCTCTCTCTACTACGTCGTTTTCCGCTGACCGCATAATTAGATGCAAGAAGCCGAGCTTCGGCCAAAGAGGTCCTCAAATACGGTGTTCTGTAACCGCTACAAGTTAAGATGATTGGCCAAGGGCAGGTCGTTCGCTTCCCACACTCCGGCCATCTCCCTCCCTTACTATTCCCTCGAATACACCTACCTCAGCTTTCGAGAATGAAGTATCGGGACGGACTTATTCATTCGTTGTGTGAGCCGGAGGGAAACGAACGGATTGCCCTGTCTCTACAAAGAAAAGGTGGACGTCCTCTTTTTGTCTTGCCGATTCATTGTGTCATGTGATTTGCACCTGTTTATGAATGATAATCAATCATTATTGATGCCACTTGGAAGTCGTCCGACCACAGAAGATACATGCAAGTTGATGCAGCTTTCCCTGGTTCTCCTTGTTCGTGCTTTTCTATCGCCTTATATTGACACATGTAAACATGCAGCCGGAATCCAATACAAACCCGACCCAAGTGCAACACCTACAGACACACGCACATTGCACAGAAGGGCACATGATGACTCGGAACAACACATGAATCTTGACATGACGTCACAACACAACTACTCCAAATGACCGTTGTAGCGCACCATCACATGGCTACCTCCAAATACCAACACTAACCCACTCTTGGTGGTCGGTCGTAGATGCAATTACAGAACAAACAAACCTCGGAGGGATCTAGTCAATAAGAGGTTGTTTAGGGGATGGGCCGAAGATGCGACGTCTCAAAACCCTCACACGTACCTCTACAACGTTATCGAAACGAAGGAAACGGAACAAAGGAGCCAGGGACGGCAGACTCGGTGGATAAAATTGGGGAAAAGGCACGCGGAGTGCGAATACCAGCCAAAACGTTCGAACCGAGAAGACCGTGATAACACGATATTGTAACGAAATCGCGGATGTAACCAATAACGCCGCCAGTGTAGTGTGATTTCCATGTAGTGTGATTTCCACCTCTGAGCTCTTCGCTAGAATCGCCTTAGTGCTGTGTGAAGCTCGTCCAAACACAGGTGCAGGTTATTACTACTTTCCTGTGTCCTCCTTGGCACGCAACGTAAATCCTGTCGCCTGCATGCTGTGCCACGCAAACCTGACCCAAGTGCACCGCGCAAACCGAACAGAAGGACACCATGACTCGGAATAACGGAATAACTCCTGAATCTTGCCTTTGTAACGCCACAACACAACTTCTGACAATGCCAAGTGACCGTGGTAACGCACCATCACATGGCTACGTACCTCCAAAGAACACACCAATAATGGACCACGATCACCTGTTGTTCGACCACGTGTTTTCACAACACAACTTTTGACGACGCCGAGTGGCCCATGGTAAAGCACCATCGCATGGGCTACGTACCTACACACAACACACAATTGACCACCATCACGTGTTCTCCGATCACATGTTTTTAGTCTTTAAGGCAACACCCCAAAAAGATCAGTCAGGCGATTGACGGCGGGCTTTCTGGGTCTTGGTTCACGACTGCTTTGTTTGCGGCCCTGGGCTCTTGCAGTACCTCCTCCGTAGCGAACAGATCAAAACAAATGACGGGCTTCGTGATGATATGATTTGGCCATCGTATGACCGAGCGTCACGCATGAGGTACCATAGAGACTTCATGATGAGGTGTAGCTCCAGTTGAAACAACGAATGGTCAAAATGGCCTCCTGAGAACTCCAAGATAGACTACGTGGTAAACATACAAGCACCCAAGGAGAAGGGGATTGATCGGCATTCTCAATGGTTGGAACGCTTCCAGTGAATGGAGAAGAGCGTCCCGGCCAAATCCAGCGGCGTAAATGATGAATGAAGTCTTACTATGGAGGGAGGCTGTGCCCTGGAAGAGGAAGCCGTCGAAATAAGGAACAAGCTGGTCTGCTATTTACAAACAGACTAACAAGCTGCATACCAACGTTTAAACTTCTCCTGAAATGAAGTCGACGCCATGTACACCATACAGCACTATACATTTCTTGGAGGAGAACCTGGCGGCATCGGTGATGGCACCGAACAGGAGGTGTCCTCCACAAGCAGGGGCGTAGTTTCGCAGCACCACCGAAGCCTCTGACTTGCTCATTGCATGCTATCTTCGGGAGATCTCTGGTGGCTCGAGGTTCAGCCACGGGATCATCCACCAGTTGTTGTCGGCCCATACATCGTATGCCTTTAGGTCAAGCGGTTCGTAGACGGTGTCGGAATACTCCCGAAAGGTGACCTCATACCATCGGTCACGCATCTCTTGGGCCACCTGGTGTTTCAAGGCGGGACGTTTCGGAAACGCCATGCATTTCTCTTGTTTCAGTGTTTGAAGCATGAGCATACTCGTCTCGTCTGAGGACATATCACCCTCCTCTTTCGACATGGCATACAAGCACTGAATGTTGCGCACTCCAAGTATTGATGATAGTGTGCCTGTAGTACCTGTTCCTCACTCATTTTCATATATTTTCGTTTCGTCTCCAAGCGGAGGCACGCTGCCTGAACATTTTCCCAGTGAATAGGCGGAGCCGATCATGCACTTACTCCTCGACCTCCCCCGATTTCCATCCCAACTTGTGTCCCAGGCTCTTTCGTGTGTGGTACCTTCAATCCTGTGACTCTAGAAATGTATGTAGCTTTTGACAATTCTTGCCTCTATCCACACATTGCCTCTTCAGCTGGACGTCAAGTCAGTGGATCTCGTTCGTCCGTGCTTCTGCACATCTCAACCTCGAGAACGGAATCCTCAACAGAAAAGGATTTTCGTGCGTCGACCGAGCGTACTGGTCGAGATTTGCAATTGTTGCGTGTTGTTGTCGCACATTGAGCCAGTCAGACCTCGTAGCCGTTGTGTCGGAACGCCTCTACATTACCTTGAGATGGCCTTACTTGTGGGTCGGTCTTTGAGCTCATCCATATCCCATTCTCTAGGCTCTGTTTTATCGTTAAACGCCGATCTTCTGTATTTTGTTTGTACAGGCTTCCAAGCTCTCTAGGTATACGGTCTTTCGCGTTGATCCAGATTCCAATACTCGCACACCTGTTTCTCGCTTTTCCGTCGTAGGCGCCTTGGCGCGGGTGGTGGAAAGGGGAGGGGGGGAGGATGATGGCTAATTTCAAAGGGAGATTGATGGTGATAGGAAGGAATGCTCAACACTTGGGAGGGGGGGGGTAGTTGTGGGAGAGTGTGTTGTGTCGAGGGAACTTTTTGTGGTGCTGGATGTAAGGTGCCAAACCGTACACCCATCCAGCCCCCCATCCAACGAAATCATTTAGACTGGCGCGAAAGCCACTCGTCCCCCGAGCGGCCCATCGGTACGGAGCGTCACCGAACATCAAACACGTTGCACCACGGAAATCCGTGTCATACCACGCCGGCGGGACGACGTTGCTTACATCGGGCAAATCGTCGACAAGGTTGTTCGATTCTCGTGGATCTTGATCGAGGTCGAACAGGTAGTCCGAGGTGGTTTCGTCGCTGCATTCGCCTCCATCGTTGCACGTGCCCCCGCACACTTTTGAGAGGTTTGTCAAATGGTCCTTCGCGAGGGAGAACAACAGCATTGTTAAAATCATGCCATCACTGCTGTTTCTCGGTTTCGGCGTTACAGTACGCTAAACATGACGCACGCACTTTATCCCTCGTAAGGTTCTTAAGGTGAAAACGATGGTCGAAACAACAGCATTGCTTTCTCTCAAACAATTCAGATTTCACACATGAGGTGTACAAAGAGGCATCAATGATGCAGAACGAATCACCGGTGCCTCGACGACACCAACCGCACAAAGCTTGGAATCGACCACTCTCTTGACATTATTCTCACCGCTTCGAGAATGTCCCCGTCGAACGTGTACCACCCATGGCAAGAAACATTGAAAATCATCTTGTACTTGCCAGACCGGAAGGCTCCTTGAGCATGCCCCGTGTCATAGACCCTGTAACGACACAAAGAGCACCAGCAGCAGTAGCAGCAGCAGATTTATACATCGCAAACAACGGCGATTGCAACCAGTCGATTTCACAGAAAGGTATTATCGCCACAGAATCAGCAGCTAATGTTGCGCATACCATCTTCGGCGCGCAGTTTTTTCATCCACAGAAAGTGTTGCCCGGTGCCGGTTCTTTTGACCTTTCCGATCGGATGGGATGCAAGGCCTTGAGCTCCTCACACCGGCAACAACGAAAGACACTGAGCATTCTGTGGCAAACAGCCGAAGCGGCAAAAGCACAAAGCAGCAGCAGCAGTCGCCATAACAACGCCATTCGTCAAAGTCATCGAACGGCTCAGCGTCCATCGGGGCGCTGTCGCTACTCCCACCGCCGCTGTACAATGCCTCTTGGTAGTTAGTGTAAGCAAACGTGCTGCTCTGATGTACACAATTCCCAAGACTTGTAAACGCTCCACTGTCTTCATCCGGAAGCGTCCTACGCATGCTGGAGCTCGCTTTTCTTCCATCGATAATCAGCATGTTAATCAGCAAACGAACGCTCGGTACATCCCACAAACGATGCCTCTCGCAATGCAACAAACTTCCGACGTTCTATTGAAATATCGAAACTCCCAAAGCCACGGGCGGAAGGCTCGCGAATTCTTCATGAGTACCACAGAACTAGCGAGGTGTCAAGGCTTGGCACCAGCCAGATGTGATGGTGGACAGGCGGGGCCACCAACCACCCTCTGAAGGATCTATGGCTGCTTGACCTGCTTACAGCACCCACAAACATCATTGACTCGGTTCGCACGGATCGCGTCAGAGGACCACGCCACGCCGCACGGAATTTACCTCATGAGTCAGCGCACGGGGCACCGTGTGACGGACGCGGAAAATAATGTGTGGTAACGGTTAACACGTGCCGCGCCGTTGTCGAATAATTAACTCCGAGAACAAGACTCACTGGTTGCTGTTCGGCAGCAGGCGGTACGGATCGTAGTTGTAGAGAAGCTCAGTTCGCGGCCTGTCCCCGTCCACTGCCGTCGCCGACCCCACGATGTGCTCCCAGTGGTTGACACCGTCTAGGGGCCCGGCGCTGAACAGTTCCGCCGTCGGCCCGTTCGAAGGAGTATGGTACGGGAAGCAGGTGATGATACTTCAAACGTGCTGGCCGTTTCTGATGGCTTGGAACCTCGCTGTTGCCAGCCACACAACCATCTACGGAGAAAATGGAGCCAACCAAGAGACGTGCGATCTATATTCCTGCTCGCGCCGTATTAACCACGCTTTAGGCCCGCACGCTGCTAACGGACAGATTGTGTTTTGGCGCCAAACTTCCCGTGATTGAATCCCTATGTCGGTACGTGAATCCCGCTGACAACCTGTGTCGTCGCCAATCGTGGGTCTCTTGTTTCGCGAGCTATCCGCAATGGTGGTGGCAGCACAAAGGACTTAAAACCTCTCGGTCAGAACGTTTCTACACGCACGTTGTCAACACCAGCCGAACACCATACTTTGGTACACCTAGGTGTTTCACGCTTACCTTCCCGACAATTCGAGACCCGCCCCGGCCGCGAGTGTCGGCAGCCAATCGGTGACGTGCATCAGCCCGTCGTACTCCGAGCCCCGTCGCGCCTCAGGGATGTGGCTTGTTGAGTACACGAACGCGGGCACCTGAAGATCGATTGGCACCAGAAGGAAAAGCTGAACAGGCGTGTGGCAACAAGTCACGCAAGGCTTGAAGCACGTTCTGGTATGAGACTGCTGCTGTAGTCGCCGGGCAACATCAGCATACGATTACCGTGATAGAAAAATGGAGGACTTCGAACGCCGTAGATGTGCGGGGTGGAAAGTTTCAGCTGTCGGACCTCCACTTGAGGGAGTACAACGCTACATCAATAAGACGCGGATCAACTTCATGGAGCTTGGCACCTAAGAACCGAGCGAACAAACAAATAATGTTGGTGTGTTAACCTAAGAATGGCTGAAACGGCCGTGAAAAAGACATGCAAAGCCCGAATATGTTTTTTCTGAACGTGCCTTGCTGCCGCCTTCCCAGTAAGAATTTTTTTTCCCCCGAAGAGGGTAATTGCTGCCGCCCTCACTCGAGTCGCCGCCGTTGTCACTGGCCACCACCACAATTGAGTTCTCCATCCAACCCTTCTCCTCGAGGTAGTGCATCAAATGACCGATGCTCTTGTCCAGAAACATCAAGACCTTTCCAGTGAGTGGGGAAACAAGTAGCGTTGCACGATACGAGGTTGATGCCGGTACCCCCCACGATGAGGTCTAGTTTCATCACTTAGACCAATGTGCTCTATTAAGTGGAAAATATGTCGCTCTTTCGCCACGGCAATGGATGTTCTTTGTTCAACCTTGCTCCTATAAACTCTCGGGCAGATCTACGACCATGTGGTTCAGGTACTTGACGTATTCGCTGTGGCACTTTCATTTTTCTCCAAGTGGCCACCCTTCTCGTGCCCTACTCTTGTTGAGCAAGTATTTACGTTTTCCTCCCAATATACGTGTTGTTGGTGTTGTGGTTGTTTTTGTTGTTGGTGTGGTCATCGTCGTAATTTGTTGTACGTAGGCACATATTCACAACTCAGACGCCTCTGCGGAAGGGGGCGCCCGAAGCATGGACCAAGACACATCACCTGCTTCGACGGGTTGGGGCATCGCGCTTCACGTCCGTTTCACCAAAATATGAACTACTCCCGACAAAATTGCCAGGAGTATGGACCATATGCAAGGAAAGAGCGCTTTCGCAAAAAAGTATTCGAACAAATCGGGACTCAGGTAGACAGTAGACAACATGCGCGGTGTCGGGAAACGATATATTGCTCATTACCCCCCTAAAACATGCGTGATGCATGTCAGAAGCCTTCGCGTAAAGTTTGAACGGCTTCTTGGTTCTGACAACCATCCGGCGAAAGCATACACGGGCAAAACATGATTTTGAATATACTTCCGTCTTGCAGATAGAGACAAGCAGACGCTTCGAATCAACAAACTCTTGCCTCACCTCGCTGCATCGGCGAATACACCGTGGTCCCCTCATTGAAAATAAATCATCGAAAGTTCGTACGGCGGCTTTCTTCTTCAGCCCTCAGGTGGCTGACCCTACAGTTGGTATCCTCTGATGGCAGGTTGGACGAGTTTGCACCGAGAAATAAGTGCTTTAGGGGGCCCTCAGTCGTACCTGAATGGAGACCAATTCACCGGCACTTTTCAGAAGGACCCGAACTACAAAGTACTGAATGACTTGGTGATTCACTCTGTGCCCACCCTAAACACCGGCACAATGCCGGGCGTTGGCCCGGCAAAACCGCCACAACTGATGGCCCTTGTCTGTGTGTGTGTGTGTTTTCGTCCTGTTGATTACGGTGATAGTTCCCCCATGATTGGTGGTTAAACGTGACACTTCAGTGAGAAGAGTCGTACACTTTTCCGTCTGTTTTCTCGTACAGCTACAACCATCCAGGGTCACGCAGGAGGGGGTAAACACCAGGGCTTTTTTCTTCTTCTTGTTTATTTTCGTGCCCCACCTCCCTCCTGCGGTGGGTGCTGTGTTTATTTCTATCGCGAGAAGGGTCCAGCCGTCCCTTTCCCTCGTCAACAGTGCTAACGTCGAAGTGTTGGTACTCACGAGAGCTTCTTCAGATATATTTCGCTTTCACCCGTATATTTTGTAATTTTTTCACCCCATGGAGGGATTTGAACTCGCGCCCTTTACGACTAACGGGTTGTGACGATGCCACTAGACCACCGGAGCGACCGGTTATCTGTACGAGAAGTAATCCTCACCTCGGTGAAGTGTCTTCGCGTCTGCGCACCCAGTACATCGCCGATCCTCGCCCCGATCTCGTCCAGGAGAAGCGTCTCAGCCTCCACAAAGGAGTCTGGTACAGACGGATACGATGTGTTTCTAGTCTAGTAGCTCGGGATACACGCGGTGAAACCACACCCTTTCCCGGCCAAGGGCATTTTCTGATCGGCAACTGCTCCAAGAATGACAACTTCAACAAACGCTCGATACCACCCAGTGCACCCGATGTCTTTTGAGGACGAAAGGAATGGTGGTCTCCTCCAATTGACGTAGGAATTGGTGTGTGAGAGATACGTGAAACTTCTAACCACGAGAAAATCTACAGAGTACGATGCCTGGATATTGAACAACGTTGTGTATGCAATTTGTGTCTGCGCTGTTGCCCCGAGCGCTTGGAATAATCAATTTGCGCCCACTTTGGGACCGCAGAGTTTACCTACGGTCCAAACCATAAGAACACTGCGGTTCGCCCCCCCCATGAAACGAAACATTCATTCGTAAGAGTCACCTTCTTTGTGCCTCCACAGGGCACCAACCTGAACGCCTCATTGCCCTTCACCCAATGCCATATCAATCGGTCCGGTGACGAATTGCGGGGATGATGTGTGTAGCTAAAATTCAGCTCATGGTACGTGATAAAATCCAGCCTTCGCGCTAGGGTACGGAAAACTATCCTGAACTGAACGCAGCCCACGCGAGACAAGTCAGCAAGTCTCCGGACGGGGTGTGACGGTGCCGGGGGCGAGTGTGTGGGACGTGAGCAAGCCATAAGAAACACTATCCCGGCGGGCACAAACGCGGGGTCACCTGCGGGGGGAAGCCCGAGCGGGGAATGCACCGCCTGGTGGGCCAGATGCATGTAGATGGGCTCTTCGTCGAAGGGAGATTTCGTCTCCAGGATCTGCTCAAGCGGCCAGCCAAAAACCAAAGAGAGCCATCCATCGTGTATGGTCAGCTAACGACACACAAGCAAGTATGTCTTACTAAGCGCCGTGTTTGCTTTCCATCGACTCACGGGGACCAGAGTTCGTCGGGAGCAACTTTGCAAGCCCGAACAAACAAACAAAAAAAAACATGCCACGTTGAGGGTGCACGTTCCGGAGAGCCAAATCCGAAACGGCCGCATTCGCTTGGTTTGTGATAAGAAGCCACATTTGTTTGAGACGGGAAAACATCACAGGGTGGCTTCTCCAAAATGCCGTGTGTCGCAGATAGTGTGTCTCTGGTGTTGAATACCCCTCAAGTTGTGATATAACGTAGCGAAGGAAGAATAAGGCTTCCCTCTCAGGAGATACGAGCGTTGTCGACTATGCGAATAGCTACGGTGTCTTGCTTTACCTCGATTGCCCTCTCCTGAAACATTTGTGTCGAGTACTGTCCTTTCATGACGTCGCTGTTCGAGCGCGAAGAGGACGCCCACGACGTCTTCGTGGGAGTGGTGCTGTGCGCACCGTCACCGTCACCATCGTCTCTATTCTCCTCCGCTTCTTTCTGGACTTCGCGATGGTCGCTGCCATAGATGTCTTGGCTGCTGGGTCTGTCTATGATGTCGTAGTATCCGCTGGCATTCCCGAAGCCAAAATCGCAGACGTGCCTCCCGTCGCTTATGACGCCAATCGTCTGTAATCAGAGCAGTACGGGAGGAACAGAGCAAACATTGGCAGCATCACAAGAGTGGTTAAGTAAGATCGGTATCAAATTCATCTCCGGGTGGTATGTTTAGCCACGCAAATCATGCCAACAAAGCCGCATAAAGCACGTGTTTTGAGGGGGGACATGCACGAAACGCACCGTTTCAGAGCAGGAACGCGAGAAAACAAGGCGCGGCATCAGAAGCCGCACGATAGTGACGTGCAAGCGGGGCAATAGACAGTACGCCGGAGTCTGGACGTTTGCCGACGGCAGTCGTGTTTCCATTTGTTCTACGGAGGGGAGTAAGAGAACGCCATGGACCTTGCTTCTCTGGCTAAGAGGTTACCCGAAAACAGGACGGAGAGAGCAACCTAACAACAACAATTAACATCTGCCTTTTCCGTTTAGCATTGGTGGTGCAACTGCACCTCATGTGTCCAGTACGCCTCGAAGCCCCCCAGATAGCCCATGTATGTGTCGAAACCCCTTTGGGAGGGAACATGCTCCGGACTGTGGCTCCCCAGATGCCATTTGCCCACCAGATGCGTCTCGTATCCGGCCTCCTTAAAATACTCCGGGAGCATCTGTTGTGAAAGGCGGATATTGCCGCCGGTGTCAAAACCCGACCTTTCGGATTCTCCAGTACTGAAGAATGTCGCCTAGCAGACCAGATCGGAACTACCTGAGCCTTCATGATGACAGGGCGCTGTGTATGCTTTCGAAAAGCGTGATTTATGTCATGCCTGCAACCTCGTGCGCGTTGAAGACAGACGTGCGCAACGTGCAGCCATCTAGTGCACGAGGAGTTTCATCCTTTCAGTGAGGACCCTCCCTGCGTTGATGGCAACATTTCCGACGCTATTTGTGTACACTTTTTGGGAGCAACAAGAGGCACCTTTTCGGAGAGGGGAACACCCCATGGTTCTCCGGGATTGATGGCGGCGTTGTACTGCATACCGTACCGAACGGTGTAGCGCCCGGTCATCAGGCTCGCCCTCGCCGGGGTGCAAGTGTTCATGGTGTAGTAGTTCGTCATCTAAAACACGTCAAGCATTAGAGCAAACAAAGATGGAGGCGATTGAAAGCGAGGCAGGGGGTGGTGAGAATGAGCGAACGCTCAATGACCGGCTTCGAGCCAACCTGGCAAATTCTGATTCGCGCATGGTAGACATGAATGGACAATCTGTTCACCGTTGGGCCGACGATTGTTCCCTGCTCGAGTTTCGGCACGTCACGGCGGCCTAGATCAGTCACGAGAATGATTCGCCTCTAGTTTTACGTCTAACGCTAGAGCCTGGCCCCCTCGCTACACGGGCGCAGTTGCGACGGGAAAAATGTCCACGGTGTGTATCTGACGTGATGGTATGTAGGTTGAACAGTTTTTTCTCGCACGAGAGGGCCCGCAAGGCGTGGCTGGGCGTCGATTGCACCAACAGCACCATTGTCGTCGGACCTTCAATGAATTAGGTCACACGAACAAGGTGCGGGGATACATCCATCCTTGCCGATGTGACCACCTCTCAACCTTCCACGAAAAGGCAGGATTCTGAAGAAAGACATGTGTGGTACACGGTATGAAGTACGTGGATACACGGTTTGTGGAAACGAAGTACGCCAGATATTTTTCGATGCAGGCCCCACGCCGGTACACTGAGAGCCATCAACGCTAGCACCATCGACTGTTGTTGTACGGACGCGTAAACCTCCCGACCCGATAGCTTCGTCACGGTACATCTCGCCGATGGTCCTCAAGTTCACACCTTGGAGCCCTCACTGCTGCTGCTGTTGTGAAAGGATTTTTCATTCAGAACCTGTCTATGAAGTCCTGATTCTAACGACTTTGTGATGCCGGCCGGAAAAAAGCCAGAACTGAGCACCTATTTCTAGATATTCTTCTTTTAAAGCCTGAGTTCCTTACACACTCCCAGGTGGCGCGTGCGGTACATGTAAATGTTTCCAGAGAGTCTACTGACAAGAAACTACCGTCGGCATGCTTCAAAAACACGTTACATCACCTTGACCCCGCCGGCAGCAAGCTTGTCGAGGACAGGTGTGACCCGCTTGAGGTCGACACTCTGGTAACCTATGTCGTCCCAACCCATGTCGTCGATCATGATGAAAAATACGTTTGGCCTTGCCTCAGCCACCGCCGTGTTGTGAAGGCCATTGTGGGCAAGTCGCCCAGTTATCTCGTCAAGACCTGGCGTAAAAATCCGGAGTCACGATGAACGGGTTAGTCAACAGGTTGGAAGCACCTACAACTACATTTGCAACGTAGATACAAGTACGACTTACACACAGGGCGCTCAATTCGAGAACAGGTTGGGTGTGTTTGGGCGTTCTTTAGTTTTACAGCTTTTTTTTTTTCATCCTATGTATTATGGCGACAGTCCCCAACATTTTTCGTGGTGAGACGTGTACAGTCGACCTCGTTTTAAGGACGCTCGCGTTAAGGAAACTCCCCGCTTTAAGGAACCTTGTTTTGCTCAGCACCGGGGGCCATACAGAATATACGATAATGGGGTATCCCCATTTTTTCGGCCGCGAACTCCCCTTTTTTGTGTCCTGCGGGCCTGCGGGCGGCTCTTTGAATGAACTACGCACCACATTGAGTGCAGAAGTAGCAACGCACAGACAGCAGAAGTAGCGAGCGGTCTGCTGCTGCAGCTGCAACTGGGTGTTGGTATCGATAAGACTCCTACCATCTACCGGCGGTCCATCTGATGCCGCCAAACAAAAGGTCGTGCGTTACCTCGTCCCTCACCGAGGGCGAGGTTATCTCTCGCTTGGAGGACGTTCGATCCTTCAGATAGCGCCCGCAGCTAAGAAACGGNAGTAGCGAGCGGTCTGCTGCTGCAGCTGCAACTGGGTGTTGGTATCGATAAGACTCCTACCATCTACCGGCGGTCCATCTGATGCCGCCAAACAAAAGGTCGTGCGTTACCTCGTCCCTCACCGAGGGCGAGGTTATCTCTCGCTTGGAGGACGTTCGATCCTTCAGATAGCGCCCGCAGCTAAGAAACGGCAAAATCGGATCGAGCCTCAATCCCTTCTTTTGGGTCGAAGTACCGGCCCAGGTCGTCCATTTTCGTAAAAGGCATTTCTTCTTCCTTTGGACTGTCGCATCCTCCCGATTCTCTTATTTCTTAGACTACAACAAGTACTTCGTATTTTCTTTTTCCTGTTTCGTGATCTCTGAGGACAATTCCACATCATCAAGCCCTCAAGTGAGGTGGTGGAGAGTGCCATCAAACCCGTACAACAGCGGAGAGCACATGGTTGTCCGCGATGTGTGGCAGTACTACAGATAGGGGTGTCAAAGCGATAAATTTCCTATAGGAAAAAATTCGAAAAAGCGTCCTCGGATCTTGCTGATGGAAAATCGACCAACCAATGAAATTGCACGAAACCGTCGGAACCTCCCGAAAAGACCCTCTGACGCACACGCGCGAGGGCGCGGCTCGCCTGTGTGCTTTGCGCCCTGCTATGTGGCACAGCACAACACCATTGCGCGGTCCCAATCTAGAACACATGCCTCATGACACACCCGAGCAGCAGCCGGGCGGTGAAGCCACGCAGACACCTGCCGCCGCCGCTGCTGCTGCTGAAAAAAAAAGCAGCAGCAGCAGCGGCGGCGGCGGCGGCGGCGGCGGCAGCGAGGTTGAGCCTGGCTCTCTTCCACAATTTTCTTATTTTTGACCAACTCCTCCTTCGTTTCCTCCAGCGTTCTCTCTACGACGGTGAGGCTGCCGCGTTCGATAGCGCGCCGCGTGTTATCTTCTGCTGACGTGGCAACCATACACTGCCCCGTCCTCTCTTCAAACTTCGTTTTGTGTTGATTCAGCTTTCGCGCAGCGCGCCTCCTGCTGCCGAACGGCGCGGACCTCGATTTTTTTTTTGGGAGGGTCTGCTGGTGTGGGCGCTGCAGCCCCACTGGAGGGGCCGTTTTCAGACATGTAGATCTCGTGGTTGGCTGATGCGATTCGGATGCGATTTGTTATGTGGTATAGCTGTAAACCCCAGGTAGAGGGCTGTAGGGTCGCTTTCACGAGAGGAGCACAGGTCGCGTTAGGCGTGGAGCAAAGAGCCCAAAAAACATGTTTTTTGGTGTTGTTCGTCCGCCCTTTAACTTCGAGAGAAACCGACCTTACAGTCACCTCTATTGGACCTGTGTCCAGGTGTGTGTAACGCATGAAGAGCCATGCTGCTGTCTGGACGCAGAGCTGCCTGTACAAACAAATTGACTTGATCTATAGTTTATTCATTATTAACAGCGGGATTCTCAAGAACCAAAAAACGAACCAAATCCGCGTGCCCCCCTCAAATTTTGCCGAATGGACCGGACGTTTTTTTGGCCCCAAATTCCGCCGCTTT